TTATGTATATATATTATGTATATATAGGTAACCTAATTATGTTTATATTGGAACGTATGATTTTACATCTATGGAAAACTGCCTAGCTGGAGCAAAAGCCTCCATTTAATGATATATTATTGAAAAGATCTCCTGAAATCTAAAATGAGTATACATACTCAGTGACCCTATAGCTGAAAAATTACAGAAGAAAATCAATTGCTTCTAATAAAGCATTTTGGTGTTTGGTTTTGGGTTTTTTTGTAATAACTGGAAATTTTTGTGTTGTGTTTACATTAATTTATGAAGAAGTGATCTTGTATGAATGACTGGATTGGACTCAACTAAATTAACTGTAATCTTTTCAACATTTTCTCTTTGACTTAATTCAGCAGATTTCATTTCCTCCCCTGCTAAAATGCTAGATCTTGAGGACTTTGGTGAAAAAGCAGTCCTGTGTTTTCCCATCTTATGTTGTCCCCTTTTGGTCTCCACAGATTTCAACAAGGGTTTACTCATCCAACTAGTATGGTAGTTTGAAAATTGATCTATTAAAACTAATGTGGCAAATGAAAGGTTATTTCTAGCCTTGGTATATTTCCCTGTGTAAGTGTGCCTGCTGGCACCAGTGGTTGAACTGAAGAAAGGTGACACCATGTTTTTTGGCAGCAGTACCAGCCTTGCTTGAAGTCATTTTGAAACTACAGTTTAAGACTGCTTGTTTATCATAATAATCATTAGAATTTAATAAAGGAATATGTTTGTAAGAGCTCTTTTGAAAACTACAAATATCCTTGACATGTCATATACTGAGATACTTTACATAATTGTCTGACCCTGATATATATCTATCCTTGAGGTTAAAAAATACAGATAAAATGATAAGTTTCTTATAATCTCTCCTCAGTGATGATGATGTAGAAGAAGCTCATCCAATGGATGGAAATGATAGTGATTATGATCCCAAAAAAGAAGCCAAAAAGGAGGTAACAGATAGCTTGACGGTGAATGTCATTTTGTTTTATGTGAGTGTTACTGTAAAAAATATGGCTTATAGTAAAGAAGTTTAGCTTGCAGCCTAAAGAAGTCACAGGGCTTTTAGGTGATCAAGGCTTGATAATTTCTGGTTGAAACAAAATTTTATATATTTTTGCCATCCTGTGGACTCAGATGCATCTCTTATTACATTCGTTATCTCCTGAGAGATCTTCAAGTTTTAGAAGAGGTGTATGCTGTCACTACTTGGTAAAACAACATTCCCCCTGCTTTTGTCTTTTTAATACGTTTACCACTTTATTGGTTGTGAATTACTGGAATCTAAATCTTTTCTTTGCATGTTAAAATTAAGTGACATTTGTCCAAGAATAACTTTTTTGTTCTTTCAAAGCCACATTGAAGTGGTTATGCATTTCAAACAACACATGTCTTTATTGAGGCCCTTTCTACAAATAAATGTAGAGAAAACCATTTTTTCTTCTCTAATGAACACTTCTTGTTAGCTTTACAGAGAAATGCTGTGTTTGGGATATGTTCAAGTTTTGGTGTTCTTTTGATAAACTTATTTATGAACAAGACTAGAAAAAATAAATTGTGTTAATGTTTGATATTCCCTTGATCAACTTTACACGTTGGTAATTTCCCTAAAATGGGACAGTTCATCCTTATTGAGAATATGAAAGGAGAGAAAGTACAAAACCTCAATGTTCCCATGAAGTGATATCTAGAATTAAGAAAACTCTGCAGGTCTACCAAAAATTACATTAAGTAAGAGACTGATAGTTTCCATTCTCAGCTTTGCAGTGACCTTCAATGTATCACTTTATCTAATTGCCTCAGGGATTAAAAAAAAGGACAATTACAATTACCCCTTCCTGTAAAAGAGTTTGAGATTTATTTTTTTGAACATGCTGGGATATAGGGTTTTTTAACTTGAAATGGCATAAGGTCTAATGAACTCTTTATACTTTCATTCTGCTGTTGTGACAATTTTCTTGCAATCTGTTGATTTGAGTTGCTGCCTAAACCACTCCTAAATAAGGCCTATTTTGTTCAGTTTGCTTTCCTTGGTTATTGTTTGACACACTACATGCAGTCCAGAATGAAAGTAGTGTTCATAGAGTTCTAGGAACAGGACAAATAGGTTTGCAGTTTCTGATGAGCTATTTAGATCTACATGAAAGAATTCTGTGATCTAATATTTCTGACAGGATTTTCTTAGGTTCACTTCCTATGCAAAACAAACTGAGTGGGCTACTTGAACACACAAAGCAATGGAAGCACTCTAGCTTGGCAAGATAAAACTCAAAGTGTTTTCACTTGAAATCCAGATTGAACAGACAGTAACTTTCATATTGAAAGAACAATGCATAACCAAATGGTATAAATAGGCAAGAACTAAATTTAACCTTGTGGTATTTATTTAGGTGTCAGAGATGTATGACTCTATATCAGCTTTCCAAGGAAGAGCAAATATCTTAAGTGCTTTTAAGATGGTCTGTATGAACTTTGAGGAGTGGATTAAGGTGTTCCATTAGCTGGGAAGAGAATGTGGCAGAAAGTCAAGCACAGCAGAGCAAAATATTGTTTGCTACAGAACATAACAATAATGGCTGTTGCCATTTGTTTTCTCTTCACTGCGATCAGATGACCACCTCTTCTTAACCTGCAGGGATGCCAGCAGGGAGGAACAGTAGGGACCTGCCTGAAGTAGCAAAAAGTCTGAATCCCATCTCTGTTTTGGTACAAAGCAGTGCTTTGAATTGGAAATTCCTTGCAGGAAAAGTAATTTTTTTGCTTCCCTACTCCAGGTCTGTAGGGAGCTCCCCCACTTGACTGTGGGAGTCATACACACAGACTAGCTGTTGTGCAGCAATGCCCATTGAAGACAAAGCTAAAATTTTTAGAAGTCCAAACATATCAAAACAATTACAAGGACTTCATCTCCCCTTTGCTATCCTGTTCCACTTCAAAAAAGCAAGCAACAAAGGCTGAAGTTTGCTAAATTACATGGATTTTTATAATGACTGCAAAAGTACCTCTTCCAAATTTCAAGTCCCCTCCCAAAGCAAAGAGCCTTACCACTTTCCACAGAGTCCTTGCTGCAGGGAAAAGTGTCATCTTACATTCTTGCCCATCTTGGTTGGCTTTCTCTCATTCTCCCTTGATTTTTACTTTAACTCTTCACATCTCTGTAAATTCACTGATCACTTGGTTTAAACATGTGATGTTCTTTACCTTCTGCATACATAAGAGGTTCTTGATTTTTGCTCTTTTTCAGAGTATCCAGACTGATTTCTATACCATTTATTGTATTTTCAGCCATGTTAAAAACAAAGTTTTGAAAACTGACCTTTCTAAGACTAACAGGCTTACCCAACAAATGACTGGTGTACTCCATCAGCTCACCTGCAAGACTTAGTTTGGATACTACATTCAGAAGAGGATGTTAGCTTAGAGGTTTCCTTTGTCATAAATATGACATTGCAATGCTATGTGGTATTCTATTCTTTAAAAAAGTTGTATACAAGATACCGTTATTCTTCAGTGTTTTTTTCTTGTAAATTAAAGGGCAATAATGAGCAGCCTGTTCAGACCAGCAAAATAGGTCTGGGTAGAAGAGAGTATCAGAGCTTGCAGCATCGCCACCATTCTCAGCGTTCCAAATGCCGCCCGCCCAAAGGCATGTACCTGACCCAGGAGGATGTGATAGCTGTGTCCTGTAGCCCCAATGCAGCCAACACAATTCTTAGACAGCTGGATATGGAACTAATCTCGTTAAAGCGACAGGTACCATGGGTTATTGGTCTTGTTTTGTTTTCATCTCAGATTGTTCTGATTGTAATGATTTTGAAGATTATCTGTGAAGATTCTGAAACTTCTTTAATGTGAGTCTTCCTAATTTTGTTTCACAGTTATCACCAGAAATGCTGGATACTAGCTGACTGACTTCTTTGGTTTTGTTTTTTGTGTTCATCTGCTCTTGTGAATAACATGAAACAAGATGACTTCCTTGAAAAAAAAAAAAAAACAACAACTAAAAAAAAAAGCTGGGGGTAGGGGAGTAGTATGGCATGAAAACAGTGTTAGAGATTTGGGGACAGGAGAAAACCAAGGTCACATTTGGGTTTTGTTTTTTTGAACTTTACTGAAAGTATTTCTGTGACAAATGAAGCTAACACCAGTGAAGCAGAGGAAGTTATATTTGTTGTGCTTAAAATTTGTAGCTGTTTTTCAGGATGTCCTTCCCCACATACAACAAAAGTATTGGGTGGGAGGGGAATCATGGACCTCATTGTTTATCTTTTTGAATTGATGAGCTTTCTTCTTATTAAGTTTAGAAAAACTTTGTAGTCTTCACCTTTAAGAGGACAATTGACTCCATTCTTTGCATGAAGAAGTTAACTTTTGTCACTTGAAGTTGAAATGCAGAATCTATTCAACTTTTAAGGGTACAGCAGTATGTGCACGCTTGCTTTCTAGGAGTGATGGGGCTACAGAGTCAAGGCTTACCTCCTGGAATTTCTGTCTTCTTGTAGAGCACTAAGAGCTGCCATGTTGCAAAATCATGGAGTGAATAAAGGGCTTTGTGGGGTTGTTGCTCCGTTGTATTCTTTTACAGGAAAAATATGCTTCTTTCTGTCACAGCAGGACTCTGGGGCTACATAGCATAGTTGGGTTTCACTCTTTAGCCTAAGTGTAGGTGAATAACAGCCTTGAGGTTGTGTTTCTCTTTTTTTCTTGCAGTGATCTCAGAGATGCAGTCCTTGGAATCTCCCACTGAGTTGTCTGCTTTTGTGTCCATACTTAAGAATACTTGTATTAGCTGTGCACCGTAGTGTGCAAGATTAGTTTCTTACATCTGTGCACCTTATGTGCATCACTGCGAGGTTTAAATGGTTAATAGATACATATGTGTATGATTTGGAAGCTCTCCTCTTTATGGACTAAGATATTTTATTTAACCATTTAAAATCATTTTAAGAATTGGCTTTAAAGGAAATCATGAGTATCTAAGGTCAATAAAAAGCAGTCTGTCAGAAGGAACTAACTGGAAACACTGCATAAATATTTTTGGTTTTTTTTCAAAGTGCTTTTTGGAGAAGGAAGATGTTCATGTGTACAGTACATCTCACTTAGATTTCTAAGAACCAAGTTCTGTGTCTAGAATATTTTCCATTCTTCAAGAACATATATATCATTATAAAAACTTACCTGTTATGTCCTACTTTTAATATTCCTGCAGACAAACTGTTCTTTTACAAGACTGGCTTAAATATTTTTCTCTCCATAGCAAACTGTCCTGTATTTTTAAAATTATTTTTAAAAAAAGCAACAGTTAAAAGTAGTGAAGCCTTAAACCATAATATTTCTCTTTCTAACTTAGGAGGTACACTTGTGGCAATCCTAGTGAAGATATATGTGTAAAGTGACCAACTTTCTTTGTGGAGCTGATTAACTTTGTTGTTTTTGACCAAGGTTCAAAATGCTAAGCAAGTAAACAGTGCACTTAAACAGAAAATGGAAGGCGGGATTGAAGAATTCAAACCTCCTGAGGTAAATTGGAATAAATATTAGAACCTGTGGCCTTGCACTTACATTGGTGGGAAGCTACAGACATAAGTTTTTGCTGCAGCACAGGGTTTGCATTTCAGCAGCAGAAAAAACAGAATCCATTGAGTTACGTGCAGGGGTGAGCCTGGCTTCTTTACAAGGAATTAGTGGTAGGCTTTTTTTATGGTGACTGGGTGAATAAAGAAGCAGAAAAAAATGAAATGTCATGTCTGTTCATGACAACAAGGAGCTGAAATTGAGACCTGCTTGGTTTTTTTGTCTGATTAAAAATAGATAATGTAGATTGCTAGCAGTAAATTTTATGTTCTGTGTGAAAATGTCACTGTATACATTTGGGCATCCAAAGTGAATAGTTTATAACTAAAGTTCCCCTTTCGCTTGTTTTAAACGCTTGGATGTGAAACGTAATTTGAATGCAAAACACTCTAGATGCCAAGTTCTAATAGTTTAGATAGAAGTAATTATGAATTAAAATTGTCTGCATAAAGATCATGAGCTTGTGCCTAAGTTATGATATAGCTGATAGTGAGCACTGCAATAAAACAGGAAAAACTATTGGTGTAGTTCTAAGCTCAAATTCTTAAATGCTATTTCCTCTTCATTAAACCAGTCTTAAACTTATGACTTACAAGCAGAAGATTTTTACCTGTGTTACAAAATGTAGTGCAAGTAAAACATATTCTGATGCTTGGATATTTTGCTGCTGTTAGAACATTTTAATGATCTTTGTGCCATTTTTCTAATTTTAATAGTCTAATCAGAAAATCAATGCCCGTTGGACCACAGAGGAGCAGCTTCTTGCAGTGCAAGGTATGTTAATAATAGTAGCAACTCAAAATCTGATGCAAAGGATTTGAAGAGGCATTCAGGCTTATGTTTGTATTTCCCTCTAATGAAAAGCTGAATTTTATCTTACAAGAGGGTCACTGGGAAAACATCAAAATTAGCAAGAATATTTATGGCATCTCTTGAAGCAACATTGCTCTAGTCTTTCAGTTATCCATGCTAAATCTCAAATGGGAAGGCTAAGCTGGGTTTAACAACTGTAGTAGCAAACAAAACTTCCTTCAGTCCTCTTCTAAATCACCTTACGTGAATTTGGAAGACTGAAGTAATAGCTGAAGTAATAAAATTTGAAGCAAGCACTTAAGACTCTGTATTGTTAAAGTAGGAAAAAGAAGTAAAACTGCCTACAGTTACTTTTCTGTGTTCATGAGGGAATAAAAGAGCAGATACCTCCTCAGTAGAGGCCTTTTAAGAGTTTGAATCTGGGTATGGATAGTTGACTAATTATGCAACATTTTCTAGTAGGCTGTTGATACAGATAATTTGCAGTCATTTTATTTATATGAAGGAAAACTGATTCTTGTCTTGCTTTAGCATGCACTGCTTAATCAAGCAACATGCAAAGGAAATACCTGGAGAGCCTAACACTTTCTTGAAGACACTATATATAATATATTTATTATATAATTATGTTGTTACATATTGTGTGATAATATAATCAGCTCAGTTGTACACATCTGCTCTAATTCTCACCTCTAAAGTGAAAGACTGGATTTTAGGGTAAAACCTTCAGTTGGATCAGAATATCAGTGTAAAGTTGTCAGGTGTGCCATACCTGATAAGTTATTAGCCAGATGACTGAACCTAAAAGTTAGGTTTATTTTGAAGTGTGAATAGAAGTGTTGAAGAGTATGGTATGTGTAAAGTCATGCCTCTCAACTTAGATGCCTTACAGTGGGATTTGTATCTCCAAACCATTTTCTATCCTAAGTTTATCCTCTCAGTTCTGCTAACAAGCTCACGTATTTTTTTGTTCCCAAATGCAACAGAAGGGGATGCCTATCTTTACCCATTAATATACAGTCTATATCTATTAATATATAATAAATAGTCTATATCTGTTAATATATGGTCCAGTAAGTAGAATGCTTGCTGGAGAAGGTGGAAAATCCAGGTTCATTGTGCCTGCTTTAGCATGAAAGGATTCAAAACATCTTGCATTTTCACAGTTTAGTTATTGGAGCTCTCACTGAGCATCAGTTTGGGAAGTGGTAAGAATGCATTTAGCTTTTATTAATCCGTGGCACTGACTGATATGGTCAATAATAAAAGTGGAGTATGGGCAAAAGAGAATGAGGGTTGGTGGTGACTGCCTGGAGAGGAGTTCTAGTCTACTGATCTCTTCTCTAAGGAATGTTCTGTGTTTTTTAAAGGTCAGCCTCCATATTTAAGGATGGAGTGAGAAATCAGACTTTCTGGATAAAACCTGTTTTCCTTGAATTTACATGGGCTTCTTGTATGTACTGTTTCTTTTTTAGTCCCTTTCCTTTGCAACTGTGTAAAATGGAGATGGGAGAGAGCCTTAATGCCAGGACCAAAGTATTCTTATTATCCCTCTCTTATCTACCACCTGGTAGTAGTCTCCTTCTTGGAATAAGTGCTGTAAGTGTTAACCTCCTGTCCCTCTCTCTAAGGACCCTGACCTCTGTCCTCCTGAAGGACAATTACTTGAGCTAGTAGACTTATGCTTGAAGGAGCACATGCTGTCTTTTGCCCTGACTCTGTTTTTAGAAGAAAGTAGCCATGGTTGCTATACTAAAAGCTACCATAATGTGTCTTAGGCTTGAACTTGGAAATCATAAGCATTAAGCAGTTAGGTGGCACTTTTGTGATTTGTTCGCTTGAGTTCAGGCATTAAATTCAACCATGGAAATCATAAACATAACCTGCAGTAATATAATAAATAGTATAAATAATAAAATAGTATTTTGGTACTCTTTTTCCTAAACATGAGAACTTTCGTCCTTTGTGGGCTCATCTCAAGAGATTGTCAGTAACTGAAGAAGAGGTAATTAAAATAAAAAAGACCTTAAAGTAGAGCCAAGCATGTAATGATAAAAGCAGTGTGGCTGTGTGCAGTGGGCTTGTGGACTCAGACTTACAACCTCTGAGCCAATCCTTTGCAGCATAATTTATCAGGTTCCTGTTCAGCTTTGTCTGAATAGTTATTGAATGTGATGGGCTGGTTCTTGACTTGAGGTGAAGTTACAAATTCGTTTATGTATAGCAGCGTAAGAGCGTGATCAAGATCTCAGACGGACAAAAATTGTAGTTGCAAAAATGTTTTGAGACTTCTTCAAAACAACAAAATTTGAGCTGAAGAGCAGTGTGTGACTATCACAGCATTACAGTGAAAAACAGTTGGGACAACCAGGATCTAACTCTATGTGAGCTAGTTGGGAGTGCTGTAATCCCAGTGAAACTGCAGCTCTCTTAACACAGAGGTTGCCATTAAATATTTGTGCCTTGTTTTGGTGCTGTATTAGATTGCTTTGGACCCAGGCTCATGTTTCATGTGCCTCTCACACAGTGGTTGCTGTGCTGCACAAAGTTAAGCAACCTAGACAGCATTAAACTTGGATTTATGAGTTTCTCCAAGTCAGACACTCAAGTTCCAGTGCACCTCTGCAGCTGCCTAAAGTTTTGAAGATCTTGAAGGATTCCCATGATCAGGGCTACTTCCAAAGGAGCCAGGAGAAGGACATCCATACATGTGAAGTGAGGCTATGCAGGCACCTTTTTTGAGCTTCACTTTCAGCAACCTAATGAAATTATTTTTATGTAATAACCAATTAGACACTTTAGACATAGTGGTGTTGAGCACAGGATCTGTAGAAGGATGTGTAAATAATGTGACAGTTTTGAAAGGGTTGATGGGTTGGCAGCAACTCCTACAAATATGCCAGCACCTTATGCACAAAACACGTATTGAACTTTCTCTAGTTTTGAGGCAGTTTAAAAGGATTTTACTGCATCATTGTGTAGAAGTCACAGTGGTGATGCTAGAGCAGTGCTAAATAACACTCTGAAAAGAACCTAAAATGAATAGTGCTGTGCATAGCTAAACTAAGGAAGTTTTACTTTCTGTAGCTATTTCTAATAATTGGGTTCTCAGGAATGTCAAGGTGCACTGTTTTTAACCTGTTTTCTTGGAAATAGGCTTAAAGACCTTATTTTTGACAACTTTAGTTGAAGTTGGCAAACAGGCTCAGTCATTCTGCACATGAAGGGGAATGAAGAATAGACAGCGAAGGAACGCAAAAGGCTGAAATATTAAAAGTTTGAATTAGGTTTTAAATAAAAATATGCTTTGTTTTGCTGGGCACTTTGTTCACGTGATTAATTGTACAGGATGTTAGATGTGTTTCAGTGGACATTTAATGATCATTATAAGGGCGGTAAGGGCAGTAAAGGTAAGATGGTCAAAGACTATTGAAACACTGGAGGGTGTGCTCAGTGGCTGCACACAGCTTTTAAGGAGTATAGCTGATAACCTTGTACAACTGATAAAGCACATAAAGATAAATGATAAAATAATAAATGATAAAATGATAAAGAGCCAAATCCCTGTCTTTGCTTTGCCTAGACACATGCCCTCCCACTTGGCTCTGCTAGGTTCCTTTGTTGTCTTTCCAAGGTTCTTGGAGACAGGATCATTGGATTCTTTTGTATACCCCCGAAGAGAGCTTAAATTATGTAGCTGAGCTCTTGACAGTTGAAACATCAGCTTCAGCTACAGCAATTGCTACTGTCCTGGAGCTGAACTTTTCCTCTTACACTGCAGTGAGTGTACATTACCACATCAGAGGTGCCTGTTAAGGAGGCAGAAAAGAGCAGAACAAGCTGGTCATACTCTTCACAGTTAAACTGAAAGGGAACATAGCTTTCAGATTTGAGGCAGCTCTCACTTTCTGAATCCTTTGCTTCACTTTCTGAAGTGAGGCATGAGACATAAATTTCTTTTCCTGTAATGAGACACAGTGGCTGTCCCCCAAGCACTGTAATATGTTCTGAATGAGTTTATTTATCATGAGCTTTACAGAGTCAAATTGTAATTCACGTATGCATAGCTGAGAGAAAACAAGAGTCTTCTGTTTACTCAGTCTGGAATAAAACTCTGATTTACTTCTTTTAGTTGCCAAACTTTTGGTCACTAGTGATTAAAATATATTTTGTGTATCTAAAAACTGCATTCTAGGATAATGGAGAATTTAAAGTTTTTTTTTTTTTTCTTCTTAAGCAGGAGGGAGGAGGAACTAGACACACACCCTGAATACAACTGAGAGAAAATCAGTGAACTTTGGGTTATAATTAAAATTTTAGGTTAAAAACTATGGAACATTTTACTCATGGTTTTGTGGGTTTTTTTTGTGTTACATGCAAATGTAGTTTTAGAACTTTAAAAAGTACATGTTGGGAATTTCTTACACAATATTTTCTTGTGAAGTTCTTGTAAACAAGTGACCTACTGATATCAATATGAAGACAAATGAAAAGAACTATGCAAAGATCTTCTGTCATACTTCTTGCTGGAGGACTTGATCCTGGAGGCTTGTGCTGGGCTGTCTTATTAGCAGACACCAATAGCTTATATTTACTTACATTCCCCAAGGTGGTTATCCAAAAAAACCCAGATTCTTCTACTCAACTCAAATAATGAATGAAAGCTTTCAAATTACTTTGTCAGGTGAATTTTTTCCAGTTGCTCCTTGTAGCCTCGATGGAACACGCTCACAAATGCAGGAATGAGAAGTGTATCACAATTTATGGACCTGTGCCCACCCTCTTCTGCCCTGTGCTTGGTCCAATAGCCACTGTCTTCTACCACTCCTGCTGCACAGGTTGTGGAGAAAAGAAATAATCTGTGTGCAGCTGGGCATGGAGGGAACTTGTAAAAGCTGTCAATGTTTGTCAGGTCTCTGTGATTTTAGGTTGGGAGGCTTGGTGAGTAAGCCAGGATCTTTAAGAAGAGTGGGTAATGACATTTTAATGAAGTTCTTAATTTGTATGTTGATAGTTGTGCAATTAAAAATTATTTTGTTTTAGTGGAACTTGAGGCCTTCTCCTAATGGAGAAGTCCTCCTAATTATCGAGTCCTTGGTTTGCAGGTCCCGTAGGTTCTCTATAAATACATCACACATAGCTGTGTCTGACTGATTCTTCACAGCTATGTTATTTACTTTGCCTTCCAGGTGTCCGAAAATATGGTAAAGATTTTCAAGCTATTGCAGATGTAATTGGCAACAAGACTGTTGGCCAAGTGAAGAACTTCTTTGTAAACTACAGGCGTCGGTTTAACTTAGAGGAGGTATTGCAGGAATGGGAAGCGGAACAAGGAACCCTGGCTTCTAATGGTGATGCTTCTGCTTTAGGGGAGGACACAAAAAATACTTCTAATGTGCCATCAGGAAAGAGCACTGATGAAGAAGATGAGGTGTGTTTTGTGTACCAGAAATAAGTAAGCATGGGTTGAGGAACAGTATTTTATTTAGTGATAAAATGTAAGGTTAACTGGTGTGGAGTGGCAAACCGCATTCTAAAGAATGGTGATGAGCTTGCATAGAACTTCGGCCAATGTCATTAACCGGCTGGGAACAGGACTGCACCTTTCCTAGTGACGATCACGTTACTGTTTTATCATTAAAATACAGTTTTTATTCTAGAAGACTCCTCTTGCTTCGTAAATATTTTTTAGTTCTGCTGTCTATAATGTTTTGGTTGGCAATTTCTTTTCAGTAACTTCTCAGGGTTTTTGTTTTTGTTTTGTTTTTTTAAATGCTGTTTCCTGTGTAGTGGACAGTGGCAGCCCAACTGCATCGAATTCCAGCTGGGGTTGCTGTTCACGCGGTCTTGTCTTTGTCCTTTGTGCAGGCACAAAGCACTCCGGCCACTCAGTGTTTAGGCCCTTCACCTCCAGCGCAGGCATCTGCTCCAGCACCTGCTGCTCCCATGGCAACTTTAAACCAGCCGCCCCCGTTACTTCGCCCGGCGCTTCCCGCTGCTC